AGGGGTTCAGGGTTTAAGGGTTAAGGGTTTAGGAGTTTGGGTTTAGGCGTTTAGGGGTTAAGGCTTAGAGTTTCGAGTAGGGCCCGTAGGGTCTAAAACTTGGAGCTTCGAATAGTCCTTAATACCAGGTTTAGGGTTTAGGGTTTAGGGTTTAGTGTTTAGGGTTTAGGGACGCCTTGCTTGAGCCCGAAACGCTAAACCAGGGCTTTGGGGTTCAGGGTTCTTGGTGCGGAGCGAGGCGAGTGAACGTTCCACAGCCACTTTGGGAAGATGAACAGCCACACGCCGCCCCAAAGCAACCCTAAACCCTGAACTTTCGAGGCCTCCTATCAAGATTTCCTTCCCCAGGTCCTTCGGCCGTAATTTTGTTGGTGTTCACAGAAAGCCTAAGTCTACCATTCAACCCTAAAGCCCCTGCAGTGGCCCAAGCACCCCATACGTATTTTTCTGAGGTCTGAGTGGGCCAAACGACAAAGCGTTTAGGGTTGAGGGTTTGATGCTTAAGCTTTGAGGTTTGGGGTTTAGGGTTTGGGGTGTGGGGTTTTGATGTTCGCTTTTCGGGTTCAGACTTCTGAGGCTTGATGGGATGAAGGATTAGCGATTGGGTGCAGAGTTGAGACAACCACTTGCCCCCCGACATTTGCAACACGCGCTCAAACTGATAAACCGCGAATCATGGAAACAGGCCTCGACCGGTCTCATATTCAATATCGTCACAAACCCCCAAACCCAAACCCTCAACATTAAACCAAACTAAACCCAAAGCCCCACAAGCCCGATAAACCTAACTAGCCCTCTAAGCCCAATAAACCCTACAAGCCCCAATAAACTCAAAAGGCCCCATCAACCCCATAAACCTCAAATTCACACCCTATGAAGCCTAGAAGCCCTGAACCACATAAGCATCTGTAAACATCTATAAACCCTATAGGGCCTAAAACCCTAAACCCTATAGGCCCTAAAGCCCTAAACCCTACAGGCCCTAAAACCCTAAACCCTCTAGGCCCTAAAACCCTAAACCCTATCACCCCTGAAGGCCCCAAAGCCCTCAAACCCCAAACCCTCTAGGCCCTAAAACGCCAAAGCCCTAAAACCCTAAACCCCATAGGCCCTAAACCACTAATCCCTCTAACCCCTAAACCCTATAGGCCCCAAAACCCTCAACCCCAAAAACAAAAACTGAAAACCGCGCCTGGAACTTTGGGTCTCGCGCGCGACGAATCCGCACTTCTTTTGTGAAGGAGTCCGGTGTTTTTTCGACCTCACCGTCATTTCGGCTTAAAGGTTCAGGGTTTTAGGATTTACCTTAAGAAACCAAAACCTACTTTTTTGTAGGGTCCCTATAAATCCCATAGTAGGGTTTATAATAAGAACCTACAAACAAATGGGTTTTGGGTTCTTAAGGTAGGGCTTTAAGGCTTTAGGGTTTCGTGGATTGTCTCGTCGAGTGCCCGTAGGATCTCGGAAAGGTTTGGTGCACTACGACGGCCCGCATGACTAGAACATCGTTCGGAGTTGTGTTTCGCTAGGGCATCAGCGTAAGGATGGGAACAGCACCGGGCAGGATATGACTTTTTGAGTCGGATATATCCCTCTAGTACTTAACTGTCGCGCATCTGCCTCTTCCTCCTGTGGGCTTACAGTGCTGATGCCCCTAAACCCTAAACCCGTTCTCAACGAGTTTCCGTGGATTCATTGAACCGGCCATGGGCCTCTTCAGACAGAAGATGATCCGACAGCCCCTTCAACTCATGAAGGCGCATGTCCCCGATATCTAAGGCCCTAGAACTAAAACGTAAACCAGGAAATCTGAAGCCTTTCAGATTTCATTGCACCGTAAGCCTTAAAAACCCTAAGCCCAAAGACCTGAGTTCGCAGGCCCAATGATAGGATGTTTGCGGATGCTTGCCTGAGTTCTGGGTCTATATGGTCTAAACTGGATCGTCACGGCTATGTTATGCTGTACCATATACTGAGATCCCACGCCTTGTTCCGGAAAGTCTCCTGGCACGAACCAGCATGCAGCTATTGAGTGAAAGATCCTCGAGACCACCACAAAAAAGAGGACAAGGACGACGAGGACGACGAGGACGACGACCACCACCACCAGCACCACAACGACGACGGCTACTTCTGTTCTTGCCGCTGCAGCGCAATTACGAAGGCAATGACAAGAGTAAACTCCGTACAACAAGCACCACCACAATCACCACCAGAACCAGGACCACAACCAGCAGGACGGCCACTACAAACCCTCCTTCAAGCTGCTGATGCTCATGCTGTTGCTGTGCTGATGATGATGCTGATGATGATGCTGATGATGATGGTGATGATGATGAGGGTGATGATAACGAAAATGATGACGACGATGTTGGCCATGATCGAAAAGTTCAGAGTGGTGAGTGGTGATGGGGTGGTGATGCAGATGGCGAAGTTAAAGATGCTGCAGATGCACTCGCCGGTGCTGCCCATCTCGACACGATGAAGCCTCTGCTGCCAACAGGAAGCAATCTTTAACTGGGTAGTTGTCAAAATTATGGTCCCTTGTGGGGTACCCTAAATAATAGGTGCCGTATTATAATAAGGACCCAAAAAGGGACCATAATTTTGACAACCACCCAACTGAAGCCGATCATTCCCAAAGCCCGGTCCAGATGTTTCACGTAGGCGTCGTGGCTGCCACGACCTTGAGAGCACCGAGCTAGCAGGGTTGAGGTCATAGGGAGCCTCGGCACTCGGTCGAAAAAAGAGTTTAGGGTTTAGGGTTTAGGGTGTTTAGGGTATTTAGGGTTTAGGGT